AGCTACCCTACATGAGAGACGCTATATAAATGCAAGTAGTAGTTGTTGTTGTTGTTATTAGTTTCAATGGCATCTTTCTGCATGGGTGAGTCAACCACATCACAGTTGGACGTTGACAACCAGAAGCAGTCAACAATTAAAGCCCTCCCCTCCCCCGTTTTGAAACCATAATGTTTAGTGATGTGAGAATTATCACTGGTGTTAGCCATCACATATCGCATTTTTCACCGTAGATTTTCCAACAGAGGTACAAACAATCACGACTCCACACGGTGGCTCAAATAGGCAAGTAACAGCGGAGAAAGCTCAGCAGTTTCCTTCACTTGTCAAATGGATTTGGAGAGTCAAACCTTGGACTGAGTTACTCGAGGGAGTATAGTCCAATAAAACAAGGAACTTGGTCTTAAAATGCTAGGCAGGGCATGGTGCAACTGATGAAGAGGTTTTCTCAACCCTTCCAATAGCAGATATCCATTACGCAGTAGAATGATCTGGTAAACCGATTATTAAGTAGCAATCGCGGGACCAGATTTATTGTGACAGGCTCAGTGAGCTTTGAGAAAGACTCCCATTCCTTGCTAGTCATTTGAACTCCGCACTGATCTGTAGATTTCATCTGAGGAGCACACAAACCCACATCATTTCTCTCGGAAAAGTAAGGCTTCTGTAAGGAAAAGTAAGGATCTTGTTCTCATCCCCCATAGAGAGAGCAGTGTGTTCAGAGCATTTCCCGTTCAAAGGTTGACACGACATGAACTAGAAGCAGTAATTCATTGGATTCCTATTTAACCCATATCAGAAGGCAGTCTCGTAATGGGATTAAGACAAGAATGTTTACGGATAAAGCAAATGTGTTTCCCAATCTTGTAGCCCCTGAATTGCAATATTAGCCAAGGAGTTTACAGTACCAAGAACTGATATCCTTTGATGTCTCATTGTTCTGCACTGAACAGATTGCCTTCCCTTTGTAGGGTTAGTGAGGGTCTCAAGTTTGTAATCTTCCTTTACTATAAGGCTGCCACAAACCAGGAGCTTTAAGGCGCAAATCAGCAGTATAAAGTGACTGAGGAACACTGTTAAATTAACATGATGTGTCGATGATATACCCAGAACTTGGTGATGTTTCACTAGCAAACACTTACCCTTTAATGAAATGATGCACAACCAATTCTGCTGCGTCCTCAATGGTCCCTCACCTCACAGGGACGAGAAGCTAATCCAAATCAAGTGCTTCCCATTATAAATAGGAGCCCTTAAGACAAACCTTACCATGAAGTGCAGAGACTATAAAAAATGGATTCTGCTTATTTAGATCAGAGTTCTTAACAGAGATTGATTACTCACGTATTTTGTTTGGCTCTGTCCTCAGATGCATTTATATGGAAAGAGACCATTTCAATAGACCACATGAAACCACTGAATTTAGTGAGTTGATGGGCGGACATGTGACTGAAATGGAGACTTTCGTGCTACATGAAATGCAGACGTACATGAGCCCAAGCTAATACAGATGGCGTTATCCGACAATCTTCAGGCTAAAAGTATTTACTGCTCAAAACAAACTGATTAGATTTCTGCCCCGCTCCTAAAGGGTGATAGTTGCTGTCACGTGTGCCAGTTTGCCTACTCGATTGTGTATAATTGTGTGCGTTCTGTAAGTAGATTATAACATTTCCCACACTGTGAAGCTGGTCAGTAATGTTGGGGAGGAATTCCACCTAGGTCTAGATTTTATTCTACTTATTATGTAGCATTTCAGAGGGTCCAGAATTTGGCAGATTCTTAAATGCAGCCTTTATTTGGAAGACATTTTTTCCAAAAGTTCTGTTAAGAAAAAACATCTTAAAAAGTTGAGACTAAATTCAACAAATTTTCAGTCTGACTGCACGTTCCCTCCACCCCAGCACTGGGTTGGAGTGTCAGCCGAGACTATGAGCTAAAAGTCCAGCGCTTAAACACACAACCTTGTGACTCAAAGACAAGAATACCATCAGGCTGACACTAAAAGCCCGAACAACTATAATTCTACTCGTATTTGCTATGCTGCCTTTCATGCCAGGAGAATGGCCTTTCACAGGAAATACTGTGAAGTGGAATGACTGTGTATTTTTGGATGAAAGTGGCAATCAATTTGTGCAAAGCAATATGTCCCACAAACAGCCATGAAGTGAATGGCCAATTTTATTTGGGGAATTGTTGGGAGGCAGGAGAAACCTGCCTTCTCATTTTGAAAATAGTCACGTCAGGATCTTTAATGTCTACCTGAACAGGCAGACGAACCCTCGATATAACATCTCATTTGAAAGTCGGCACCTCCAGCACTACATTAGCGTTGTCAGCTTAGACTATATGAGTTTAAGTCTCGAAGTGAGGCTTGAACCCAAAACCTTCTTACTCAGAGGCGAGACTGCTAACCAACTCCGCCAGTTTGACGCTTACAAATATGGTGTAATGCTGTGTATACTTATATACACAGCAGTGGGTGGAGTGAGCATTAATATGGTGCGAGGTGTCTGTTAGCAACTTGTGGAGAGTGGCAGTGACTACGGGTTATGGAATGTTGTATGCTACCACTGTGAAAAGGAAGGTTATGTACCACGTCATTGAATTCAGGCGAGGATGTGCGTGTCAGCAGGACATACAGAATGGAAGAAGATGGATTAAAAAGCACAAATATGTGGTGCAGTCTGACCAGTATTGAGGCCAAGCGAATACAGATGGCTTTATCCTGCAGATTGCTTTTTTTTCCTGTTACTTCCAACATTTCTAGACTAAATCAAATATTAGCAATTTTGAGTGCTGCCGCCGGTGCCAGCAACATTCCTCTACCAAGCCAGTAAATGTACAGATAACCCATCTCGGCGTGCAATTTGGCAGGATTGTACGGGATGCGGGGGGGGTGGGGATGGGGGGGGGGAAGTGAAAGGAGGTTAAGAATCAAGTAAAAATTGTATGTTCGCCCTACAAAACACACAGTCACTACACTTTACAGTATACTCTATGAAGTGCTTTGAGGCGCTTCGAAGACGTGATAAGGCACTGCGTCAAATGCAAGGATTATTATTATTATGTAATATTTAGGGCCAAGGAAGACAGTCTCCTTTTAAAAGATTATGCTTCCACTGCTATCTGAATTCACATTTATGCAATCTGTTACATCGGATGGAAGAAATGTTCAGGGAAAGGCAGACATACTCTTACATTTTTATTGTGTGAAAGATTATTGAGCTACAGTACTTTGCAACGTTGTAAACTACGACCGACTGCCATCCAGTGGTGGCTTTTACGAAGCACATTTCATGAATTCCTGAACTTTTCCGGTTTACTTCTATAATACGCAGCATTCAGTCTACTCCCTGGTGCCGCTACACTAGGAATGTAGGAGCCAAAGGTAAAATAATGATAATAATCCTTGCATTTGGTATAGCGCCTTATCATGTCTTTGAGACGTCTCAAAGCGCTTCACAGAATACACTGTAGAGTGAATTGACGACAATGTTGTGGGCAAAACCGGGCAGCCAATTGCGCACAGCGGTGTCCCACAAACAGCTATGGATTGAGTGACCAATTATTTAGGATTTATTCTGAAGGAATTATTACCCCCGGAAAAGCGATCCGACAATCGACCGACAACCGGGTTCCTACTGCGAGGTAAACAGGTGTGTGGAGTAAGGAAACTTGCCCAATGTTTTGCCCTGCCCGGGAATCGCACCCGCGTCTCTCGCTTGCGAGGCGAGAGGTCTAACCACTGAGAGCTACGGGACTAAGCGGCAGCTTCTACCCACGCACCTACCATCTTTGCTGCTACCTAACACGGTTGTATTTGCCTGCGTCGGGCTGAGCGCACTCATTGCACAGCACTTAAATCTTCTTCCACAGTTCACGCTGACTACCGCACCGTGGATCTCCTCGGCACTTGACAATGATAATCCTTGCACTTGATACGGCGCCTTATTACGTCTTCGGGACGTCTCAAAGCGCCTCACAGAATGCGGTCTGGTCTCCAAGTGGAGGTTAACGTCTCCCCCCCCCCACCACCCCACCCCTCCCGTAAATCGTCCGTCAGTCCTCAATCGAAGCTCGGCAATTCCCATTGGTCCCAGCGCCGCGGACCGTCACGTAACGCTGCCGTGTGAGAGACGTTCCTGGATAATGACAGTGGTTCCTGATACGATACGATAGAAAAATGACATCTGTAAAGTCACAATTAAGGAGGAGGAGAAGAGCGTAGCGTAATAATAATAATAATAACAACAACAACAATAACAGTAACAATAATAACCCTCGCATTTGATACAGCGCCCGATCACGGCCTCGAGACGTCCCGAAGCGCTTCTCAGGATCGACTGTCAGGTGAAGTGACTGTGCATTTTGCGGGCGGCGCGCGGCGGCGACTTCCCCACAGAGAGCCGCGGCTCGAGCCGCGGTCAAAGGCCACGGAGACCGGAGCCTCGAGACACACGGTCGAGACCCGGCCGAACCCACCGCCTCAGCCCCGCCCCCCGGAGCCCCTCAGCCCCGCCCCCCGGAGCCCCTCAGCCCCGCCCCCCAGAGCCCCTCAGCCCCGCCCCCCAGAGCCCCTCAGCTCCGTCCCCATAGCTCCGCCCCCCGATGGCCCTCAGCCCCGCCCCCATAGCTCCGCCCCCCCCCCGGGGGCCCTCAGCCCCGCACCCCACAGCCATTGTCAGCTCAGCAGCCCCGGGGGGGGGGGGGGGGGGGGAGCGGTGTATTGTGGGAGCAGAGCTGGGGTCTGAGGCGGGGCTGGGGGGCCGGGCCGGGGTCTGAGGGCGGGGCTGGAGGGCGGGGCCGGGGTCTGAGGGCGGGGCTGGAGGGCGGGGCCGGGGGTCTGAGGGCGGGGCCGGAGGGCGGGCCGGGTGTCTGAGGGCGGGGCCGGGGGTCCGAGGGCGGGCCGGGGGTGTGAGGGCGGGGCTGGGGCGGGGCCGGGGGTCTGAGGGCGGGGCCGGGGGTGTGGGGGCGGGGCTGGGGCCGGGGCCGGGGGCGGGGCCGGCGGCCCGCGGGCCTCAGTGAGGAATGTGCGGCCTGGGCACAGGCTGCGGCGCGGGGCTCGGGCCGATGGGGCTGAGGCCGAGGCTGAGGCCGGGCCCGGGGTGAGGGCACAGCGGCTCCCGCCATGGACCAGTGGAAGCCGAATCCTCGGGCCAAACCCTTCATCCCCCGCCGGCAGCGGAGCCTCTTCAGCGGCTGGAGATACAGACTGAGGGGCCACCGGTCAGTGCGGAGGCTGTGCCAGGTACCCCCCTCCATCTCTCTCTCTCTCACACTCCCTCCCTCCCTCCCTCCCTCACTCCCTCCCTCACTCTTCTCCCCCTCCCCCTCTTCTCCCCCTCCCCCTCTTCTCCCCCTCCCCCTCTTCCCCCCTCCCCCCCTCCCCTCCCTCCTCTTCTCCCCCTCCCCTCCCCCCTCTTCTCCCCCTCCCCTCCCCCTCTTCTCCCCCTCCCCTCCCCCCTCTTCTCCCCCTCCCCCCTCCCCTCCCCCCCTCCCCTCCCTCCTCTTCTCCCCCTCCCCCCTCCCCCTCTTCTCCCCCCTCCCCTCCCCCCTCTTCTCCCCCTCCCCCCCCCCCTCTTCTCCCCCTCCCCCCTCTTCTCCCCCCCCCCTCTTCTCCCCCTCCCCCCCCCTCTTCTCCCCCTCCCCTCCCCCCTCTTCTCCCCCTCCCCCTCCCCTCCCCCTCTTCTCCCCCTCCCCTCTCTTCTCCCCCTCTCCCCTCCCCCCTCTTCTCCCCCTCCCCTCCCTCCTCCCTCCTCCCCCCACAACCCCTGATGCCGGGGCAGTGACCGGACAAACCTGTTGGGATTAACTGACGGTGTTTCACGGTGGAGGTTGCGGTATCTGTTTGAGGAATGCCGTCGTTCTCGCTCGGTTTGTTGTTGGCTGTTGTCGAGCTCTCCGCAACGCGGTGCTGGAGAAGTGCAAGTCGTCGTCGTCGTCGCCGCTGAACTCAAGAAGGGGGAAAATTTGGCCCCAGGGACACAAATAGCTCATCCGAGGACGGTCCTCAGAAATCGGGCGCGTACCTTAATGGGGAGGCGAAGCGGGTGTCAGACCGGCTCCGTCGCCACTGGGTTTGGGGTTCACGCCCCACGCCGGTGACTTTGAGCTCACCGTCTCGGCTGACGCCACACGGTGTGGTGCGCCAAGTTGCCAGAGGTGCCGTCCTTCTGATAAATCATTGAGAGCCGGGATCCGGTTCGAGCCTCGGTCAGGTAGGCATTGAATCCAATCCCCGGCACTCTGTTGGATAATTAATCCTAACAGGTGAGTGTGTCTGTTTTTGTATGTCATGCTTCTTGCTGAGTTTGTCGCTGAACTCAAGACGGGGCACGTTTGGCCCCAGGGAGACAATACCTCATTCGAGTATCCAGACCTATCCGAGGGTATCCAAACCAAATTCCTACTGAACAAGTGCCAGATTGTACTCAAAATGGGCAAGTTGTGTGGTTTTAGCTGTTTTAAACTCCCTTCAGTATCCCTCCAATGTTCACTCTGGGGTCCCCAAGCCTTGGTTCTCGACAACCTCCCTGTGCCCTCTGTCAATCGGAGCCTTGTCCTGAGCTCCACGTTGAACTGTGTTTTTCTTTTGTGTTTTCCAGACTGGTGCTATATTGTTTCTGCTGGTGACTGTGATTGTCAACATCAAGCTTATTTTAGATACTAGGAAGGTAGCAAATGAGGAGGAATCTGGAGAGGACTATGGTGAGTTCAATGCCATCTCTGATCTTCATGGAGGGCAAACTGATGAGCGGACGCTGCTGATGGGACTCTGGCTCCTGTGGCAGAGGCCGATGCTATCATTCAAATCCTCTTATCAGACAACCTTTGCAAATCCAACTTGGGGTAAAAAGTGTCATTATCGGGGAGCCGGTAGCATGATCGTAACGTACGAACCAATCTGTAAGCAGGTTGTGCGATCTGGATAGGGCTCAGTGCAGCTCCGATGCTATCGCTCTTATCTCTGGGTGAGTCCCACGGTGGAACATTGAGCTTATAGTCTAGGATGACACTCCAACGCACTCCTGGGCAAGTCCTGCATTGTCAGATGAGAACATTAAATCCCTGGGTCCATTTGTCTGGCGCTTTTCAATAAGAGGAAAGCATCTCTCATTGTCCTGGCCAATGATCTTCTGCCTCGAAATGGTCATAGCTCTTTGTGGGACATTTGCTAAGCACAAATTGGCCGCCACATTTACCTACAAATACAGTCACTACACTCCACAGAAACCTTGAAGGGAGTGAGACACGATAGGCACAATACCAAATGCAAGTGTTATTATAAAACTGTAATACAATTTCAGAGTTCTGGTGAGTGATTTGAGTTTATTTTCTTAGCTTGTGTGTGTGTTGTGTGTGTGTAGTGTGTGGTGATGTTCAGTACAGAAGTCATGCAGTAGAATAACTAACGTATTGCTTTTCTGTACCAGATAATGTTATCCCTAATATGGAAACCCCCCGAAGGCTGTCAAAGGGGCGAAAAGTCCTGGATATTGAGGTGTATTCCAGCAGGTCCAAAGTCTATGTTGCAGTTGATGGAACCACAGTAAGCACCTTTAAAACTGCTTTTTGTTTCACCGAATTAACAGTCAATTCCTAGGGACGCAGCATAGCAGGAAATCGCTGCTGCATCATCTCTGTTAGTGCAACATCGTGGAATCCAGTTAAACAAAGTTATGTTGTAAAACTTGTTGCCCATGAACAAAATGCTGCTTGTTCACCTGTGTTAAATTGTGATCTGGTTAAAGCCCATTCCTGATACTATCAACCCCCAGCGCTCTTACCTCAGAATCCGAAGGCTATAGGTTCAAGCCCAACATTGAGACTTTGAGCTTACAGTCTAGGCTGACACTCCATTGCATTGTCACACATGCCATCCTTCGGATGCAATGCTAAATGAGATCCCGTCTGCTAGTTCAGGTGGATGTTAAAGTCCCTATCTCCCAGTATCCTAGCCGACAATTCCCCAAATAAAACTGGTTGTTCATTTCATGGTTGTTCGTGAGACATTGCTGTGTGCAAATTGGTTGGCTTGTTTGTCCACAAAACACAGTGATGGCACTTTACATTATAACCAGTGAAGTGCTTAGAGATATCCTCCCGACGTGAAAGGCGCTATAACCAAATGTAAGGATTATTGTTATTATATATTTTAAACTCAATTTTATTGCGTCCCTGTTTAATGCTTCCGTTGGTGTCTCGCTGTTTTTGTCCTGATAGGTTCTGGAAGATGAAGTCAAAGAGCAGGGGAGAGGAATCCATGTTATTGTTCTGAATCAAGCCACCGTAAGAATAATTTTATGTGTGTTATATGTTGAGCAGTACAACCTATTCATCTCCCTCCACACGCTCTCCAAAATTGCAGCCAGTTTCCAACCCTATCAACAACAACAACAACAAGATTTCATTTATAGAGCGCCTTTCACGTTATGAGGACGTCCCAAGGCGCTGGACAGTTGGGTCGGGACCTGAGCATTGGGGGGGAGATGGTCAAGGTGAGGGGAGGGAAGGGAGGGAGCGAGGAGGGGATAGAGAGTCGAGAGGGGAACTGAAGGCACGGTCGAAGAGAAAGGTCTTGAGACCGGCCTTGAATTCGATCCTCTGGGGGATGGGAGCCAGTGGAGGCGAGCGAGAGCGAGGGTGAGGGCGAGGGTGGGAGTGATTTGATCGCGGTGTCTGGTGCGGGACAGTACATGAGCTGCAGAGTTCTGAATGACCTGCAGCTTGTGGAGGGAGGTGGCGGGAAGGCCGGCGAGGAGAGAGTTCCCATAGTCCAGCCTTGAGGTGATAAAGGCGTGGACCAGAGTTTCAGCCGCGTGAGGGGTGAGGTAGTGCCGTAGTCTGGCGATATTCCGGAGGTGATGGAAGGCGGTGCCAGTTGTGGCGCGGATATGAGGGAGAAAGGACAGCTCAGGGTCGAACAGAACCCCGAGGTTCCTGATGGCTTTGAGAGGTGGAGAGTGCGGAGCTGATGTTGTCAGCGCCTGAGGTGCGGAGGCGCTGACGTGAGCCAATCAGGAGGGCCTCAGTTTTGCGCACGTTGAGCTGGAGAAAATTGACTCTCGTCCAGGACTCGATGTCGGACAGGCAGCTGTCAGGACATCGGTGGTCGTGGAGTTGAGGGTAGAGGAGGAAAGGTAGAGTTGGGTGTCATCCGCATACATGTGGAAGTTAACCCCATGTCTGCGGATGATGTCACCACAGGGGGAGCATGTAGAGGGTGAAGAGGAGGGGACCGAGGATAGAGCCCTGAAGGACACCACACGAAACAGTGCGGGGGGTGGAGGAAAAGCCGTTTGTGTAAACAAATTGAAGACGGTGGGAGAGGTACGACCTAAACCACTCAAGGACAGGGCCTTGAAGGTTGAGGTAGGAGGACAAGTGGTGGAGGAGGATAGCGTGGTCGACTGTATCGAATGCGGCCGATAGGACGAGGAGGACGAGGAGGCAGAGGGAGCCCTGGTCACAGATGGTCAAGATGTCAATGGTGACCTTGATCAGGGCGGTTTCTGTGGGGTGGCGGGGGGCACCGAGGAGTCGGGATGTGGTAGAGAACAGAAGCTTGGGGTTGTTCTTCGCCTCCAGGATTATCCTGGAGTAGAAGGATGACTTGGCCGAGGCTAGACTGGAGCAGTAGGTTTTGAGGAGGTCCAGCCAGATTTGTCGGCGTTCAGCGGCCCTCACCTGGCTCTTCAGTGAGCGGAGGTGGGTGGTGAACCAGGTTGATGTGGAGGGAGAGGTTGAGCGAGGAGAGCAGGGAGGAGAAGTCCGAGGAGATGGAGCAGGAGGAGGTGAAGTGCAGGTTGAAGTCGCCCAGGATGATAAGGCGATCAGAGCAGAGGCGGAGAGATGTTAGTAGGGTAAAAATATCGGAGATGAAGGTGGGAGAGGTTTTAGCGGCCGGTAGAAGAGGAGGATTTTGAGTGAGAGAAAGGAGGATTGGGAGAGGGTGAGGTGCTCAAAAGAGGGGAAAGAGCCAGAGGAGTAGGGGGATAGGGCAAGTGGTGTCCTTGAGATAAGGGCTACACCACCGCCACAGCGGTTGGGGCGAGGGATGTGGTGGGAGGTGTAGCCGGGTAGTGTGGCCTCCGTGAGGGGGAAGGTGTCGCCTGGGGTGAGCCAGGTTTCCGTTAAGGCCATGATGTCAACGCTCTCATCAAGGATGAGATCGGTGATGACCGGGGCCCTGTTACAGAGGGAGCGGACGTTTTGTAGTCCGATGTGGAGGGAGCAGTTGACAGAAGGGTGGGAAGGAGGGGGGTCCAGGTTGTGAGGCAGGGGTGGAGGGAATGGGGATGAGGGAGGAGAGGTTGGCTCCCCAGGCCTGTGTCCGGGGTGGCTGGCGAGTGTGGTGGGGAATGGGGTTATATGTGACATAACTCAAGACATCATCACCCAGTTTTTCTTCTGGTCACCCATGAAAAATACATAGAACAACTTATATTCATTCATCCAGTGCCCTTCACTTAGGAACATCTTGGGAGTGCCTCCCAAAGACCGAGTCGGATGAAGGTGGAAAGGTTATGAGCACGGTCGAAGGAGTAGCTTTTGGAACAATTTCACAAGCTTCCTCTTTACTCTCTGTCCTTCCAGGTAGAATAATTGTCGGCATGAACACACAGAAGCTTTTGTTTGCATTTCTAATCCTGATTGTAGCTACATCAGGGGTGTTTTGTATCCTAGGCTTAGCTAAACTGGGGATCGGTGTATAGTCTGAGTCTGAAATATCTTTTGCTGAGCAGGGTCACGTGATGGCAAAGCGTGTGTTTGACACTTACTCACCGCACGAAGACGAAGCCATGATCCTCTTCCTAAATATGGTCTCCCGTGGCAGGATCCTCATCTTTACCATTAAGGTCAGTGTTACGCTGCCCTTAGCTGGGCACAAGACCAGACAGGGACAAAGCCGGGATCGTTTTTTATATTTTAAGTGCATCTTTAAGTCTTATCGGGCGAGTGTGGGTTTGTCCCTACACTTCTGCTTCAGTATCTTGTATTTTCTGTCACATCTAAACTGTCCAGCAAAGGGTACTACTTAAATAATAATATTATTTAAAAGTGCATTTCCTATAGTCCCTGATTGGACTGAATCTGCTTGGAGCACATCGCCTCTGTTACGGTTGTTGTTGTGCAGTGACTATTTTGAAGTCAAATGGGGTAACCTTGATATTAGTCCCCTCCCTTCTCCCCCCCCCCCCCCCCCACAACCGACCCCAGCTCGGGTCTGAAATGCTGTACGCTGTCCAGCGCCTTGGGACGTCTTGCCGACGTGAAAGGCGCGATACACTCGTAATCTTGTTGTTGTACTACACGTAAAAAAAAAACTTGATTTCAGGATGAGGGGTCCTTCCATCTGAAAGACACGGCTAAGAACCTACTGAAAGGCCTAGGGAGTCAGATCGCCTCATCGCTAAGTTGGAGAGATATGTGGACCTTCGTCGTGAAGAAAGGAGGTACAGTATGACGTGTAACAATCTGATGTAACTAAACAGTTGATGGAAGCTCTAACGTTTCAATCCCTGCTCATTTTTTCCCAGTCTCAGCCAGGATAGTCAAGTTAATGCCCTGATGCTGGCTCTTTTTTTTTAGCACAGTGTAAAGATTGAATGCTCCTCACTAGGGTCAACAGGCTGAAACCGCTGATCCTGTTCTCGAGTATCTTAAAAAGTCCTGAACTTTACCAAGTGCCTCCCCATTGCAGTGTGTTGTTCCTTTAGACACTCGTAGCTTCGGTGTGTTCTTCATCCACATTGATGCCTTTCGTGATGCTACTTTATGTGTCGTCATACACACCAGACTGTATTAGATACAGCACCCGTTTCTAGCAATTAACGGATGTAAATGGAGTGGAGAATATGATCGAACAACGTTCTGGAAGGTTAGCTTGATGACTCAGTTCAGAACACCAATGGCTTTTCCGTCCTTAGGTCAAGTGTATGGTGAGAAGCATTCAAAGTCACCAGCTCTGGCCACTTGGGGAGATCCGGTCTTGCTGAAAACAGAGGTTCAGCTCAGCTCTGCCGAAGGTAAGGCTTTAATGTGTCCTGGGAGAGAGGGAGGGAGGGATTGCTTTTTTATGTCATACGTCTTTGAGACATCTCAAAGCGCTTCACAGAATATACTGTAAAGTGAAAAGCCTGTATATCTTGTGGGCGAAGTTTACCCATTTAATAGCAAGGGTGTGCACAGATTTCCTTTTTTTTAAAATCTTCACTTTGATTATCTTGTTCTTGGAGTCTAACATCTGTCCTTTTCACCCCTACGTTACCCTTTATTCCACTCCCATCACCATATCCTCTTGCTTGCTGCCTTGCTAACTTTTACCATTTGCTTACCTTTTGTGGAGATTCTGAGTGTCGCTGGTTAGACAATGAAACAAACAGGAGAAGAAAGGCTTTCTGCAGCAAGGTGGAGGGATATGGCAGCATCTGTAGCTGTAAAGATCCAGCACCTATTGAATTTAACCCTGAGACTGTAAGTTCTTGTGCTTCTTTCAACTACAGTACTTCCATGTGAGATTTGCAGTGTTGTTCAATGAGTCTGACTATGTCATGCTAACGGCAATATAGCAGGGGCTAAGGGTTGATTTAGACAGACTCTTTCTTGTGTTGGAGGACGGTTTTCCCTCACTTAATAATAATAATAATCCTTGCATTTGATATAGCGCTTTTCACGTCTTCCAGACGTCCCAAAGTGCTTCACAGAATATACTGTAAAGTGAATTGACTGTATATTTGTGGGCGAACGCGGCAGCCAATTGCGCACAGCAATGTCCCACAAACAGTCGTAGATGCACTTGCAAATCACCTGACTACTTTTGAAAGTTGGTCTAGATTTCTAAGCATTTCTACCCTCTCTTCCTCTCTTTCTCCCCCCACTTCCTCAACTAGAGATGTTATGGAGAAGGACAAAACTTCTTCCAATAGAGACTGAGTTGCCAGTGTGGGGAGAGTGAAGTAAAACTATTCATGGGAGTTGGAATGAGAGAATTGTTCTGGGAGTGGACTTAATTGGTCTCCAGGCCTTTTTTTGTGTCTGTTTCCTGTTCAGCTGGAGGGATCGGGAGATGGAAGTATCTCGAAAATGTCTGATTTAATCCCCATCCGGTGTGCTTGATTCTGGACATTTCAATTAAAACAAATGCACTTGAGGTTTTGGGAATCTGCAGAATCCATGACTTAATTTTCTAACATTTTCCTTCTTTTTGTTCTTGCAGTTAAAAGATAACAAGGTTTCCTCTGTCCCCGTGGCTGTGATCGCTGGCAATAGGCCTAACTACCTGTACAGGTGAGACTTTAGAATCAGGATACATAGCAAGTACATACACTATATCAACAGAACCACAATATATCAGACACATGCCATTTATGTTAGTGCGTAAAATCAGCAGAACGAACACCTGTTTTCTTCAATGAGCTAATCCAGCACACTTTTAAATTTCACAATTCTCTAACCTTTCTGCTCACGCGTGGGTGTGTGGGTGTGGTGGAGTGGTGGTGGGGAGAAACAGCAAAATTTTAGACTGCCACATAACAATAACTACAGGAGTGAGGAAGGGAAAGACACTGGGGAGAACTGGTGCCGTAAATATAAAAACAAATCCATTTGGATGCTTTGTGTATTGGAAGCGGCTCTAAACCACTAGAGATGGGTTTGCGACATGAACGCTGAAACGGAGATGGCAAAGATTAGACTGTTAATGCTTAACTATGGTTCTTTCCTTGTAACGGCTGTTTTTTTACCTACAGCAAAATCCGTTTGTGAGCGTAGGACTAGTGGGAACATCTGAATTCTTTTAATACTATCATAATGAGGGGCTGGGTTAGGCTAGATTCAGTGAAGCGTTTTAACACTTCCTCTTGAAAGTGGACAAAGTGTGCTGTGAATCACGAGAGAATGGTCCTTATTCCATTTCATTCATTGTATAAAAATAATCCTTCCATTTGATGTAGCGCCTTATCACGTCTTCGAGACGTGTCAAAGTGCTTCACAGAATATACTGTAGAGTGAATTGACTGTATATTTTGTGCACAGAGGTGTTCCACAAACAGTTGTGGATTGAGTGACCTTATTATTAATCTTTGAAGGAATTTTATTACTCCCGGAAAAGCGATCCGCCAATCACCTAACAACCGGGTTCCTACTTACTGCTAGATAAACAGAGGTGTGTGGAGTAAGGAAACTTGTCCAACTTTTAGTCCTGCTGGGAATCGAACCCAGGTCTCTTGCTTGTGAGGCGAGTGCTCTAACCACTGAGCTACAGGACTCATCCTTCCTTAATAACAATTCAGGCGTTTTCCTCCAATTGGTTTCTTAAATGAGGGTCTTGGCATCGATTTTCCTTCCTGGTAAAACTGTTCCTTTCGTTTGTTACCCTCGCTGTAAAGAAATATTTCCTTGTGAGTGCTTGTCTGAAAGTTGCCCGGCACATCTCTGAACCTGGGAAATCTTTTTTTGATGATCCACTTGTTTGTTTGTTTTTGTTCGAGAAGATATTTTATGATAACGTAGATGTTTAACGTGATATTTTTCCCATCTCCATCTAGAATGCTACGCTCGCTCCTGTCTGCACAGGGGGTTAACCCAGAGATGGTGACCGTCTTTATAGATGGTTACTATGAGGTGAGATATTTAGATTAAGTACTGGATGCGCCTTCATGGGTTGGTGTCATAAAAACTGAGCAGTTACAGTTGCACACTGTAAAGTGTCGTGGTTGTAGTTGAGATTGCCACTGGACTGAACTGATTGCTCTTTCAAAGAACCAGCACACACGTGATGAGCCAAATGGCCTTTTCTTTGTGCTGTGAATTTCTACCTTTCTAAGAAAGAAAATTGGCAGGGGAAAAGACTCACGCCTACTCAAAGAAAAAAACCCTGGGTGATAAATACAGATTTGTTTTTCAATGTTATAACAACAACTTGTATTTATAAAGCGCCCCTCATTTAGGGTAGTGTCCCAGGGCACTTTATTACTGTATCTTCACCTTATTTCAACTACCTTTGAAGTACTGACTGTTTGTTTCTCTATCAGGAGCCAATGGATGTCGTGGAGCTGTTTGGCCTGAAAGGAGTCCAACACACACCAATTAGTATTAAAAATGCCCGCGTCTCCCAGGTATCATTGACGTTGTTTGATAAACACAAACCGCAACTAGGCTACCAATCTCTTCCTGCAGCATACAATTCCCTTTCTTCTTCAGTCTGCTTACTGTAATAAAATATAACTCAATCCAAATCAAGGGTGGATTAGTAAGTTTCTTTATTTCAATCCAAATGCTCGTAAATCCACCACCCTAAACCACACACCTTGTCCCACTCCCAGTGTCCTTTTGCACTTCCTGTCCTTCTTATGATTAATTTCTTTGTTAATGATCAATTTACTCTTTAAAGGAGTTTTCAACACTTACATTTCCAGTATAGAAAAATGGAAAAGTGGAGGGATTGAGGGAGAGAGTTCCTAAAGTCACTCGTATACTTTACATATTGCCTCTGTTTACCCAGCAGTGAGTAGGAACCCGCTTGTTAGTCGATTGGCAGATCGCTTTCCGGGGATAATAATCCCTTCGACATCATAATAATAATGTGGTCACTCAATCCAAGACTGTTTGTGGGGACACTGTTGTGCGCAATTGGCTGCCGCATTTCACCCACAAAATATTTAGTCAATTCACTTTACAGTATATTCTGTGAAGCGCTTTGAGGCGTCTTGAAGACGTGATAAGGCCCTATATCAAATGCAAAGTTTGTTATTTATACTATAAAGAGTAATAACTATTTTGTAGATGAACGTGATCTGCTGTGGTAAAGTGTAGTGGGTGTATATTTTGTGGGGCAGCCAATTTGCGCTCAACAATGTCCTTCAATTAGCCATAAACCTGTGGCACAGTTATGTTGACAATTTATTTTCTTATACTTATGCAGCACTACAAAGCCAGTTTGACTGCAACATTTAATCTGCATCCGGTAAGTAGTGCTTTACTTACTGGAAATTAATACTTCAAAGTTGAATTTTGAAGCCCAAACCAAAAATGCTGGAATATCACATCATTCGACCCGGTTTTCAATCTCTGCTTTTAAATGCGTGACTTGAACTGTTGTCTCTTAATGCCATTTCTAAGTACTTTGAAATTCTGATTCAGTAATTTAATGGGGACCATTACTGCACTGATTTCAGTGTTAGGTATTTGTTCTATTCTTCCCGCCGCCCCCTGTTTTTAAAATTCTAAATTAAAGTTTTAAAATCTCCATCTGATGGGTGTCCGTTTGCTCAGTGAGTGCTGAAAAAAAAATTCTCTCGAGAAGATAGCTCACCCCACGCCCTGACTGACTGACCGCCTTGTTGCCTTGCTGTTGCCGTTTTGATGTAAGTGGCTGGCATCCACTTCCCCGCGCGGGAATGATTACTGATCGATATTTATTTTTCCACCCCCCCACCCCACCCCACCCCACCCGTGCCTGCTGATCGGCCATTTTGAAATTGTAACCCAACACTTGACCCGCTGCTGTTCGCCTCGGGGCGGCTGCTCGTTCAGGATGCAAAGTGCATTGTGGTTTTGGAGGAGGACTTGGACATCTCGGTCGACTTCTTCAGGTGAGTCGGGAAAGCTTCTCTCTCTTCCGCTGGTCGTCGGTCACTGCTGATGTCACTGCCCGGGTCACTTCCTGCACGTCGTGGCACAGAGTGAGGTCAGCGACGCTTCCTGCCAAGGAAGTGATCAGAAGTCAGTTTTTGTACGTTGAGATCCTTAGCGTCCTTTTAAGCCGTAGGAAGCTGGGAACTGGGAACTTCCTAACAATGCAGAACTCTCACTGCATTTCGCTCACAAAATATGCAGTCAATTCACTTTACATTATATTCTGAGAAGCGCTTTGAGACGTCTCAACGGTGTGATAAAGCGCTACATCAATGCAGTGATTATTATTATTACTGCACTAGTGTCCGCTCTGGTTCAGGGAATGAACCCACAACATTGTAAGCTTCACTGAAGTGGGAGTTCTACCAGCTGAGCCAAACTGACCAATTAAACTCCAATCCGATGCATTGGTGGCCAGTTACTAATCCATTTTATTCTTACTCCCTAGTTTTCTCAGCCAAACCACCCACTTACTTGAGGAGGATGAGAGTTTGTATTGCATATCTGCTTGGAATGATCAGGTGGGTCTGTGCTGAATTGCATTTACAATGATTCCAATTTAAATTATCTTTGCTGATCAGCTTCAGTTGTTTGCATTGAGACAGCATTGCTCCTACTTAGATTTTAGAGGTGCAGGGTAAGTATTTAATGTAACTGCCTAAAGTGCTATACTATATGTGGGAATGACTGTACTCTATATTTACTAGGGTTATGAACACACTGCAGAGGATCCTGCCCTTCTGTATCGAGTGGAGAGTATGCCTGGGCTTGGATGGGTATTAAAGAAAAGTCTATATAAAGATGAACTGGAACCAAAGTGGCCAACTCCAGAAAAGGTATAATCTTACAGCCCATAACAACAACAAATTAAAATTTCAAAGCGCCTTTCAGGTCGAGAGGATGTCCCAAGGCCCTGGACAGTCAGGGATTTGGACCTGAGCAGGGGGTTGGAATCAGCGGGGGGGGGTGGAGGGCAGGGAGGGTCGGGGTAGGAGGGTGTCCGAATGCGAGGAAAGTTTCCCCCCAACGTTCACACTTCTGTTTTGTGAAAACTAATTCTGTTCTTTGTTCTGACTCCCGTTGCAGCTCTGGGATTGGGACATATGGCTGCGAATGCCTGAACAAAGGAAAGGCCGGGAGTGCATTGTCCCGGATATATCCCGATCTTATCATTTTGGAATAGTTGGTTTGAATATGAATGGTTATTTCCACGTGAGTAAAGAGTGCCACTGCAGTGCGGTAAACATGCTGAACGTTTGAGTGAAAGGAATCCTCAGTGTATGACTGATGCAGACTACATGGCTCGACATCCCTCTCTGGTAATGTCACTGCAAGTTTGGGTGATGATCTGTACTTGCTAACCCTTAAACAGAGATCGAGGGTATAGTTCTCCCCTTTGACTGAATATTTAGCAGGTTTGAGATATGTAACGAACTGCGTTGTTTCTGCAGAACACTTTTTCATTAGAAACTGGGGTTTATTAATGAATAACAGATTCTAACCATCAACGCGCTCTCCTTTCACCCAGACGTTCAGCATATTTACTGCACTGCAGTGCTCTGCTGTTGGTTTTAGTCTTAGTGTATTTAAACCCGTGACCTTTGTACACTCATGTGGAAGACTGTTTACTTTCACATGGTCTGGGCGAGATTAATTTGGCATATCTCACTTTGTGTGAATGATCACTTGTCAACACCACTCAGAAAGAAAGGGTGCAGGGAGTTGGATAAAAGCTGTGCTAAGTTTGGACCACAAGCCATTTTGTGCATTTCTAGATGTATTTCTTTTTAATGAAAACAGTACCACGCTCACAAACTACTTATTCCACAGTTCGGGGGCTCTATCTGGGTCCGTGTTACCAATCATTTAATAACATGTAGTAATAATAATCCTTGCATTTGATATAGCGCTTTTCACGTCTTCCAGACGTCCCAAAGTGCTTCACAGAATATACTGTAAAGTGAATTGACTGTATATTTGTGGGCGAACGCGGCAGCCAATTGTGCACTGCAATGTCCCACAAACAGTCGTAGATCGAAAATGACCAATTTATTATTGTTTTTTTGGAGGGATTATTATTAGGCTCTGTGTGGAGTAAGGAAACTTGCCCAAAGTTTCGCCCTCTGCCTGGAATTGAACTCAGGCCTCTCGCTTGCAAAGCAAGCGCTCTAACCACTGAGCTACAGGACTCCAGAAGAGTAAGAATGGAATGTAAGAACGGAATGATTTAAATTTAAGCGCCTCTTTTTGTTTTAAAGGAAGCCTACTTCAAGAAACACAAGCTCAACACTGTGCCCAATGTGCAATTCAAAAACGTAGATAGGTTTGTACGAAGCTTTTTTTCTATTCTTCCCCATCCAAGTCATCCCTTTTAATGCATTTTTCCAACTTCCTCCTTTTTATGAAGATTTGTAAACGTCTTGACGATTTAAAATTTGAAAATTAAGCATGATCCATTTTTTTTTATTTGCTCAGTGCCTTGTGTGGAGACCTTGCTTAAGAGTATCCAAACCTCTTGAACTGAGAGTTCTATGACCCCCACCTAAGTTGAAATTCTCATGCATTGGAAAGAAATGCGCGTTCTCTCTCCTTGGAGGGGCATAGCATGTTTACCTAATTCCAGAGTATTAGGTGCAGGCTGAGAAGAGGCAAGGCCAGAGCTTACATTGAGATGGTTCTGGAGCGTAACCAGCTAAAACTGATCATATTGGGGTTTTACCTCTATTTCTTGCTCCTTTGTGGTGCTGAACCCATGGAATTGCACCCAACTTTAGAAGAAAATCGTGAGCAACAGAAATGGCTGAAAATATATATTTGAAATTGTTTGATCTAATATATAAAGCCATCTGTACAACGTCCTCACGGCACGGGTTTGAACTTCAATTGCTTTTGTTCACAGACTTAAAAAAGACAGCTATGAGACTGAAATTCATAAACTGCTAAGGTAAGAGGAGACGTTTTTACTCCAGTCAGTACTGCAGTGCAAGTTTCCAATGCTGTACTGCACATTGTAAAGTGCCTGAGTGGTCGTGTTATGCAATTAATAGAAAGGAAGATGTCAGACTTGTATCATGTTGCAACCTGGTCGACGAGACTTTGGTCTCCCTTGGCTGGGATACCCAATACTATCCGGCTGTGTATTTCGTTCCTTCCTTTACTTATGAACAGGCTAGATTATTATGGGATTTTAGGCCTGACAATAGCGTGTAGCCAATAGACAAACAAGCCTGTCGTGGTTCTGCCGTGACTCATTGCAAGATGCTGGCACCTGTCCTGGGACAGTGGGATAGTTTCCACTTTTTGCATATGGAGCACTCCTGAGTTCAGCTTTAATGAGGGGTGGATAAAGAAACCTATGTTATCTATAGCTGTCCTCTGCTAGCTACCTAAATTAGAAGTTGATCCATTTAATTCAACGTATAACTTCTATTGATTGACGCTACACAAAATGGTTCTACTTCTACAGCGAAGCCAAGGTTCTGGACCACAGCAAGAACCCCTGTGAAGATAGTTTTATTCCAGACACCGAAGGGAAGATCTATGTCATGTATATCAAAATGGAGCAGGAGACTGACTTTACAACGTGGACAGAGTTAGCTAAGGTAAGTGCAAAGCCATGTATTGTTTCTTTTCAAGCAGCACAAAAATGGTACGCTAACAATTGTGAAATGTCCCTACGGGTTGACTTGTGAAATAGCTAATCATCCTTGCCCTCCCTCTTTCATTAACTTGTGATTCAGCAGTACAATGGGTAAGAAGCACGTCCCAATACGTAATTAAGCTACTGTTGAGTACATTAATTCAGCAATCACAAAGATTAATCTGGTACAAAACTCTGGATACCTTGAATAAGCAATACCTTTGTAATTTGAGTTCCTTTGACACATGGTGGTTAGGTGACGCATTAAAACAAACTCCCAACATTTCAATTGAAAGTCTTTTTTAAAAAAGATTTCTTGGTCTCTTCTCACTGGTTTCTGATTAATCCTCGAATGTACATTTATCTTAATTTATCTATTGTTGTGTTAAGAAAATTAATCATAACACAAGCTAGCGGGGGCTCTTCAGTCTTGAAAAATGACACTTTCAGAGTGAGTGAACCTTATAGAGATACAGCAGATTTTAAATGGGATTGAGGAAGTAAAGTCAGAATAATTCATTTGAAATGACTTGAGATCGCAGAAGAAAACGACACAGGTTTAAAGTGCATTTGAAGGTTAAATACCAGGTGTTTTATTTTATCTTTTACCCAGAGGATAATTGATGACTGGAACAGGTCCCCTGGAATTGTGGTTGAGGCCAGGTTGTGCTTGTTTTTAAAAAAAAGAAAATGGCTTGATGCTGTAATTCAGGGGATAGTAGGGAGTATATTCTGGAAAGATGAGATCAATTGGACCAAGGAGAGGTTCATCCGAATCTCGTTATCTTGTGTAATGATTGTAGTGTAATTAACTGGCTTGTTGAATTAATGGACAAGTCCACTGAACTGTATGTTGTTGCAGTGTTCAATTCTGCCACCAGGTGTGGCTGCTGTCTCTAATGGTATTCCTAACACGACATGTAGATTAAGCGGGGTCTCCTTCGAGCTGAACTGGCCCTAAAGTGACATGCCTGGTATGTCAGAATCGAGCCAGCCCTCTGTGACGGTCTCGGTAGTCCGGTTCCTAAGCCAGGTGGGTCCGCAGTATTCCAGGCCACTGCTGACGACAGCATGGCCCAGCCTGGATCATTGTCATGACCTGGAAGGGCAGACCAGTCACTGGGGGCAGGGAGCCATCCCGCCCAACACCTACAAGGCAAAGCCCTAATGGGTAGGGTGGTCCTAGCTGGATAAGCAGCGGGAAAGCTTCCTAGACAGCAATATCAATGGCAAGCTATGTAGGTTTAGCTGGTTAGACTCCAGCGGTTACCCCAGCGCACACTCTGAGGTCTCCAAGCCTTAGCTCTTGACAACCTGGACCTAATACTTTCCGGAATTAGGTAAGCAGGATGCATTACTCCAGGAGAGAGTCAAATTCCATTTGTATGTGGAGGTGGGATACATGGAAACCTCAGCTTGATTTGGATGCTCTGAAGCTCGGTGATGGGTTTCTGCATGTGTCAGACACCCGGCTGACCAAAAACAAACAAACATGTAGCTCAGTGAGTTCGAAACATGAATCCAGTCCTGCATTTCAAACAGCTTCTAGAAGAGGAAGAGCTTTGCAGAATACTGAGGCCAGCTGTAGCCATAAACGTTTGTTTGTGATTGATTTCTATAGCAAATAGGCATGGCGCAGGTAAAGGTCAGACATGTGACATTTAATTTGCTTTTTGTTATTTAATCCCATTAAAACGTGGTGTTTGGGGTTCATTCATAATGGGGGATGGTGAAAAAACATTCCCACTTCCAGGCTGTCGCTGACGTGGCTTTTGTCCCGGACTGTCTGGCTTCCTGCCCATGTGCCTGCAACCGTTTCTAACCTTGTGTAGTGGTTGTGGCTGACTGGCTGATTTCCTCTGTGTACATGAGAAGCTTCATAACAGGCCTTTGCTTGCTCCCAGTGGAGTTTCTGTGCCCTGTTCTGTGAGTTGAGTTTTTAACTGTGTGCTTGTATCTTCCAGTGCCTCCATATCTGGGATCTTGATGTCCGTGGTAACCACAAGGGCATGTGGCGGCTATTCAGAAAGAAGAACCACTTGCTTGTGGTGGGAACTCCAGCCTCTCCTTATTCGTAAGTACAAGTCTCTTCCCCCACTGGGACTCAATACAAGTGTTCAATGCACTCTTTTGGCTTCCTTACTCAGGGGTGAAACCTTCGGCAAGTTTCCTTAATCCACGCCCCTCTTGTTTACCTAACAGTAGTAGAAACCTGGTTTTTCGTCGATTGGATGATCGCTTTCCGGGGTTAAAAACCTCTTCAATAAAAAATAATGATACTTTGGGCACTCAATCCACAACTGTTTGTGGGACACTGATGTGTGCAATTGGCTGCCGCAAAATTGTAAATCATGTTACAATAGATTCTGTGAAGCGCTTTGAGACGTCTCAAAGGCATGATAAGGAGCTATATCAAATGCAAGCATTATTATTTTTATTATAACTGGTTGTTCCAACAGTCAGATACAATTTCTTCTACTTTGAGATAAATACTTTGTGAAAACCTGGTTCCCTTTCTTTGTTTCTGGTCAACCAGATGTCTGACACTTGCCGAAACCCATCACCATGTTTAAGGGTGTGCAAACCAAACTGAGAATTTCAAACATCTCATCCTCTCATGGCATTCCTGTTTCGGGGACTGTAAATGTGACAGAATCCCTCCTATCATTCACCGTCCTGCACTGATGGAGAAGACTGGAACAAGTTAATTGGCTTAGTGCTGTGGTGACATTTCAGCTGTGAATAAAATAACCTGTTCTGTTATGTTTCAACTGTTTAAATTGGTTTCTCTGTTGGCAGGTTAAAGAAGCCCACATCAGTGACACCCATTTACATTGAACCACCTCCAAAGGAAGAAGTGGAATTGAATTAAAGTTGGGCTTCCTCCATTTTTGTAGCAAAGGGATCTCAACTACAAACCATATCAAACCACTATATTTAACGTACAACATCAGTTTACACGTTGCTTCATAACCATCTGCTTTAACATGAGGCAAAAACAAAACCCAAGCTAATTCCGACTTGGGTGAACTACTAAAGACTTTAGTTTTGTAAATTATGGTTTCAAATATTTATATTACTGAATCTACAAAAGTTGGGAGAATCTTCTGTACACATCATCAGAAGGATGGACCAAGGGATTTCCTGAAATGGTGAGTTGGGTTGTATTGCAAAGTGCTTCATATCATACTCCTAAACTAGAGCACTGAATCGGTTTAATGACAATGTACTCAGACAGACTTGTGTCTGATTTATTTTTTTCTGTCTGATATCATAAATCAGGGTACAGAGTAGCAAGTCTCTGCTTATGAACTGGACTATTGACAACACGTTTGACCCAGAATTTATTTCAGGAGATTGTTAAACCACTACAGAGAAGCAAGACATTTTTTGATCCACAAACCATATTTACAACATGAGGGGTAGTGTTATTGATGTAGAAATTTTATTTGTGATAGTGGGGAGAGGGGAGTTGCTGCTGTTTTCTAATGGACAGTGAAATTGTTTTAAACTTTTTGAGGTCTTTTGGGGTTGAGGGGGAAAGGAGACGGTATATTTTTACCTGTGGCTTGGACATGGCATCTCTTCAGGAATTTTCTGAAGCTTCATTGCTGAAATAATAATAATAATCCTTGCATTTGATATCGCGCTTTTCACGTCTTCTAGACGTCTCAAAGCGCTTCACAGAATAAATGTTACTGAAATCACGTTTCGCCCACAAAACATACAATCAATTCACTTTACAGTATATCCTGTGAAGTGCTTTGAGATGTCTCGAAGATGTGATAAGGCGCTAACTCAAATGCAGGGATTATTATTAGAATTATTAATTGACATAAGAAATGCAAGACTAAAAAAGACCCAGGTCCATCTAGTTTGCCTTCCACCTTCCTGACTGTCGCATGCACATATGTCCTGAACTACCTATGTAGATATTTGAAAATGTCTGACCTCTTCAAAAATCCTTACACTAATATTTTTATATACTGGTATTGTGACCAGATTAAAGAGTTTCCAGCATAAAGCGTGTGCTTTCCAATGACTGCCTTTCGATTTGCATTAGTACATGGCATTGGGCTACAAATTTGAATAAGTGAAAGTGGGCCTGACTTATGGATTTCTGGCTTCTCAGCATATTGGATATCGAACTGTATTGTTTAGTGACCGAGTCTTTTCCTGCTGGAAGACATGATATGGTTGCTGTCCATCATCTTTCAGATTGACAATGGAAAAGGAGGAGTACTTCATACTAAACATCTAACCTGCCTTATCCAGAATAATGTTCCCCTACACAGTGATTCTTCCATAAATTTGAACAATTTGATTTTGAATCCCAGTTTCTTTGGTCTAAATAACACCTAATTGACGCGGTGCAATCTTGTCGACTTTCTGATGAAATGCTGGTGGTTTGGAGCCAGAAAATATGTTGTGATCATGGCCAGTGTTAACCTTGTCTGCCTCGAAAATGAAAACGACCTCCTTTCAGGAAATACAATTCTTATACTCCCATTCCAATCTTTCTTCATACACCATTAATATTTGCATTTCAGTTCTTTTTCTTACCAGGGCTACACTTACTTTTTTTTTAAACCAGTTATTTACTCCTCGAGGGAGAAAATACACAATGTGAATATGATCATGGGAGTTGCTATTATTCCCACTCTACAAATAACCACGTGCATGAATTTATATAGGTGTTTGTTGTATTTATGAAGTATCAAACGAGTCATTGCTTTTAAGTTCACTCCATTTTTCCCACTCCACTACCCTCTGTGTCGTCTCCAAAATGAGCTGATAATTCAGCTTCAGTATTTGTAAAACTAAAAAGGAAACGCTTCATTGAAACCATTTGTGCCTGAAATTTCTCCTACTGCATTTCAGGAAGAAATGTCTTTTTTGTTTGCTTGATGGGTGATGTAAAATAAAGAGTTCTTTTTAAAGTTGTACATTTGTAACTGATGTCTAGAAGTTATATTCAGGAAGGTGATCTTTTCGGGTAACTGCTGTTTTCTACTGACTTGTAATAAAAGTGAAATGAAGAACATATCCCACAAAAAAAAATCTGCTGCAGGTCAGGAACCAACTAGTAATGTAGCTGTTGTTATCGGCATACAATACAAAATTACATTTGTAAAGCGCCTTTCATGTCAGGAGGACGTCCCAAGGTTCTGATCAGTCGGATTAGGGATTTGCCCTTGAGTGAGGGGTGGTGGGGTTGGATCAGGGTGGGTGGAGGGTAGTCGAAGGCACGGTCGAAAAGGAGGGTCTTGAGGTGTGCCTTGAAGGAGGCAAGGGAGGGAGTGAGGTGAAGGGAATGTGTGATGGAGTTCCAGAGGGTGGGGTCAGAGAGGCTGAAGGCCCGCCCGCCGATGGTGGGGTGGACCTGGCAGGGGGCATGGAGCGGGCTGGAGCCTGCTGAGCAGTGGGAGCGGACAGGTTGATAGCAGGTCGGAGAGGTGGGGGAGGGAGCAAGGCCATGGACAGCCTTGAAGTTGAGGACGAGGATTTTGAACTCTGAGGGATGGGGAGCCAGGCGAGGGTGGGGTGCAGGAGAGGACACGAGCTGCAGCGTTCTGGATGATCTGCAGTTTGTGGAGGGAGGCGTTGGGAAGGCCAACAAGCAAGGGAGTTGGAGACTTTTGTTTCGTCAGCCGGGTGTCTGACACATGCAGAAACCCATCACCGTTGCTTATGAGTATCCAAACCAAGCTGAGAAATCCATTCATCCCACCTGGACATGGGAAACCCAGAGATAGATTGTTGGAATGGAACGCGCGCTCTCTCTCTCCCCGGAGGGACACATCTTGCTTACCTGATTCCAGAAATTAGCAATAACTGGAGACTTGATTTACATTCACAGCTGATGGCTGCATTGTAAACCTTAAACCCACTGTAAATCTTAATCCTAGCAAGATTTCCGGTTCTAATTGCTCCATTTGTTTTTTGCTTTTTACAGCCAGTATAAAACTTTAATAGGCTGCCAAGCCCTCCGAACCACTAGCCCACATGAAGAGCACAATATAAATGCAAGCTGTTGCTGCTGCTTTCCTCCTCTGTAAAGGAGCTGCCGTTATTTCGTGAATTTGTGATTTCGGTCACTAGCCATTTCAGATAATAATAATCCTTGCATTTGATATCGCGCCTTATCACAACTTTGAGACGTCTCAAAGCGCTTCACAGAACATAGTGTAAAGTGAATTCACAGTATATTTTGTGTTTGTATACTATACTGGTACCTCTATACCGATGTGTGTTTTCATTCTCCTGACGTGAAAAGCTCTTTATAAATATAAATGTCCGAGCTTTCACTTTTCCAGACATTTTTTTTGCCTTGCAAGCTCTGTTTGGATTAACGCTCCTTAAAGAAGTTATGGCTGATCTAATAGACTGGAGTGAGTGAGAGAGGGAGGACAGTTTTAAGATGCTGCCATTCGTTATGGTGAGAATTGAGTGATTTAAACAATCAGAAAAGTATTGTCAGTTAACATAGTTAATGTGGGACATTTACTGTACTGGACAATACCATCATCAAAAGCCTCTTTTAATTTAAAGCAGCAGGTTCACAATCACTCCTCCCACTTTGCACACAGAAGCACATTTCATACCTAACTCAATTACACACTTGAAACCACCTAACCATAACGTGCTTTTTCTTTACGTAATTTCCCTTCGAGATAAAGATAGCAAAAGTTTCATGCATCGATGCTGATTTTACAAAGGTGTTATCTGTTCAAACCACACCCCCCCCGGGAGAGAACAAGCTGGTATGTGTCACCAGCGATAACGAATTGCATGTATATAGTGTCTTTGACGTCAGGAGGATGTCCCAAGAACCTGTCGTTATGAAGTTGGGAGTAAAATGACTGTTTATTAATAGAGTCCTTGTTACCCAATGAAAGCCTGTGTGTTTCCTTGTTATTCATGCACATCTTGTTGGGAAAAGTAGCTGCATTTTGCCTGTGCTTGCAGTTAAATATAGTATGCACTTACATAGTTTCGTAGAGTGCTGCAGCACGGAAATAAGCCATTCCTCTCCCCCTTCCAACCCGTGCCAGCGTTTATACTCCATTTGAGCACCCAACAGCACTATTTCCCTCACCTATACACCTCCATTACATTCTCCCTCAGTTTTTTCTCTTCAATACATTGACGATATGTGATCTTATCTTCCACCAGACAAACTACTGTCATAGTACGACAGATAAGATCAATTTCGGACTGTTTCATTAAAGAGACCAATGTCCTTGCCTGATTCTCTCTTGGTAATTATTAGATAATTATTTGGGGAGGACAAGTTTGCAGGGCTATGGGGAGAGAGTGTGGGAATGGGATTGATTTGGATAGCTCTTTTCAAAGCCGGCACAGACATGATGGGCCAAATGGCTTCCTTCTGTGCTGTATAATTCTATGATTCTAACCCATTCCAGCTGATCACTTATACTGTGAAGAAATATTTCCTGGTGTCGGTCCTAAATCACCCTTCACCATCCCAGATCATAACAATCAGTGGACCATCATCTTCTCCTCACTACCCACATAACCTGCTTTAATCACTCACAGGTGCGTTAAACATTGCTTTACTAACTGGTGCTGATTTAGTTACTTCCTTGATGGAAAATTACTGTGATTTGCATACTTGGTTTATGAGCCATATCGAGTTTCAATTTGAATGGAAGAAATTTCTGGTTATTGTGCATGAGAATTCCTTGGGATATTGCTGTGACAGGCCTGGATGAGGGGATGTGGGTTGAAAAGAAGTACATGTTAAGCTTTCCTATTTGTTGGTTGACGTTTCCAGCTTCCTTACTAGTTATAATAATTATAATAATTCTTGCATTTGATATAGCGTCTTATCACATCTTCAATAGCTGCCTCTGTTGTGTTTTTAAAAAGATGACAGAATCCTTCATGTTTATCATTTACGCAGAGTCACAAAGTGCTTCACGCGGTTGACTGGGAGCCAGAGCCGGGAGAGGGGCGTGGGGTAGAGGGGGTGGGGGAGAGGAGGGATGAGGGCAGGACGGAAGGGGGTCAAACCAAAAGCTTGGCATAGAGGCCAGGTCTTAAAGTTATAAGTGTTTCTTGCAGAGTGATTTCCAGCGAACCAGTTAAACTACAGAAATAAAGAGATCACCAGACAAGAGAGATTCACTTGAAAGCTTTTCAGCCCATTTGAATCTTACCTTCCGAAATATTTACCTTATTTCTCCTCCAGTTACAGCGTCCAGTTGGATTGTTATTGGGGCACATAAAGATTCCATCTCATAGTGCAACAGTAAACCCCTTGATTTTCGCTGAGAGTGGAGGGCAAAGCAAGTGAGGATGCAGTATTCCTAACCCAAAAGTAAAATATAGGCAGGTTTTGGAGCCGAAATTAACTGAGGCTGATGGTGACCAGACCATTGGATATGTGCCAGAGACCTCAGCATTGTACAACGCTGCCACGTGGGCATTGTTCAGGAACATTGAGTTATGGCCACTGTGTTCTAATGTATTTGTATTTCATCTCAACAGATTTCCATCAGAGACTGTAAGTTACTTCACGACCCATTGGTCTTCCAAAAATTGGAAATTGCGTTTCACAATTACTGCCAAATGTAGTGACTATTTTCGGAGGCAATTGCTGAGACGAGTGACAATCTTTCTGTGACAGGGCTGGCTGAGGTGGTTTGGAAAGAAAATATTTTAAACCAAGGATGGCACCTCTGGCAATGCATCACTGAGTGTTAGCCTGGTCCTTGAGTTTAGATTCGAAGGGTTGTAGGATCCAGAGGCCAGACTGCTACCAACTGAGCCAAGATGACACCCTGTAGAGCAGTGGAGGACGCATTCATTGTTGTGGATACCTTTAGTGTTTCACCTGCAGTAAACGAACCCGGTTGTTAGTTAATTGGTGAATCGCTTTTCTGAGGCTAATAATTCCTTCAAAAAAATAATAATAATAAATTGGTCACTTCTATCCACGAATGTTTGCGGGACACTGCTGTGTGCAATTGGCTGCTGCGTTTCGCCCACACATATACAGTCAATTCATTTCACAGTATATTCTTGTGAAGCGCTTTGAGACGTCTTGAAGACGTGATAAGGCATTATATCAAATGCAAGGATTATTGTTATTACTGGAACACAAGATTATTAACCATGCTATGGGAACCAGGGTAGAATTGAATAATAATGACTGCAATGCTGATTGCAGCTCCATTGGATGGCAGTAAATTTAAATTTAAATTTAACATTAAAAAGATTCATACCTTCTTATCTCTAGTCTACTCATAAACAAAAGCCTCAGGATGTGGTAACAAAGACCGGAGAACTGGGTGAAGTCTCATCTTTCTTTGCTCCCATCTGCAGTTGTGCTTCAGGCTTTTTTTAAGAATTGTAGTTGAGTGAAGTTAGGTTATGCTTTCTTGTTTATTGTGCTTTACAGATTATTGAAAGTGGTCGATAAAGTCAAGGTATGATACTAACTTCCGGAACTGTCAGCCTCTATCCCTCCACCTCATCTAATCTTTAAATTGTTTCACCCACAAAATTTCCAGTAAATCCACTTTGAAATACATTCTTTGAAGCGCTTTGAGACATCCCAACAACGTGGTAAGATACTATCACACAGCAGCCAATTGTGCACAGCAGGTCTCACAAACTCGTGGATTGAGTGACCACATTTGTTTTTTGGAGGGATTATTATCCCCGGATTCCTACTCACTGCTTGGCAAACAGAGGTGTGTGTTTGTGTGGAGTAAGGGAACTTGTATTAGGTTTCGCCCCACCTTGGAATTGAACAAAACCAACAGAATGACATTTGTCTTTCACGTTAGGAGGACGTCCCAAGTCTCTGGACAGTCAGAGGATTCGGGCCCTTTGAGCCAAACGCCTAACCACTATCATACAACAACAAGATTCCATTTATTGAGCGCCTTTCACGTCGGGAGGACGTCCCAAGGCGCTGTACAGT